CTCCCCAAAACCCCAAAACCCCAAAACCCCAGGATATGAATTTCATTTTTAAAATAGATTTTATCAGAATTAATAAAAAATTAGTATATAATTTACAGATGAGGTTGAAGTTATTATTCACAAACTAGTCATATAATCTCTTTTCACTTATAAAATACTTTAGTATGAGTAATCTTAAATCCATCCTTGCTATTTTCATCAGGTACTACTCTAAATCCGAGAGTTGCACAATAACTTGGCCCATTGTATCTCAACTTTTTATTATACATTTTGAGTAAAAGATTTATGGCCTTATGATGAGATACTAGAATTAGTACTTACTTTTTACTTTACTCAGCATCTAAAATAAAATGGTTGTTTATAATTTCTTTGAAACCCTTAAGATATCGATCATTAAAAACCTCATTATCTTCAGGAAATGAGGGATTTGATAAATTCATAAGTTCATCTTATTGTATATTTTTTATCATCCCATCTAAATATTTAGATATCAACTCCTATTCTTTTTACTTATATGTTCCCTTTTTTAAGGGATCTTACTTAAGACCTGGTTTTAATTTCACACATAATTATGAGTTAGTAATAATCTCAGAAGTATTATTTTCAAAGAGTCCATTTGCTAAATAAGCTGCTGTTTACAATGTTCGAAGCATTGGAGATGATATAATCTTAGCCTTTGCCTCTTAATATCCACCATCCCTGATATATTCTTTTATTCTCTAACCTGCAAATTAAGCCTATTATTTTCCTTTTTATGTAAGTGGTGGATCAAATTTATATTCTATTCCCGTATTTTGTCTGCAAAATAAATTCTAGATGTAGAGATTATCAGCCCTTTCACCATGTCTCACCCATAAAACAAAACACTCTCTTTACTCATTTGTAGATTCCATTGAAGTGAAGGTTTTATTAAATTTATTAATATTTATAAAAAGCGATCTTATTAAAGCATAATATTACCAATAGAAACAGATCATGGGGTTTTGGGGTTTTGGGGTTTTGGGG